AAGCTTGACCTTACTACCAACCACAGATCAGAACCACATTCCTCATTCTAGTGAGCTCTGCACAAAATAAAGGGGTGAGCTGTTTTAAGAATACTATGAAAAATCATTGTGGAGACCAGTAACCAGAGCAGCAACCCAAAGATAAAGGTTAAGAAAGTTTGTTACTCCACATCAGAAATAACAGTGTACGTATACTCATTAGGCTGAAGATTTCCTACAGCTGACGCTGGAAAACAGATGCAGCATGGAATCTACAACTTAATCAGTATAGGTGCTTGGCGCGCGTGTACACACAATTATATCTGACGTGTGTGTAGAAGCTATTGAATACTTGACAATTTTAAGAAAGACTAACCTTTCCCTTCCACAAGGAACCTCTTAACTAAGCTAACCTATAGCACCATTAAAAGTAATTCAAGTTTACAAACCTAATTAACAAATAACAGATGCACCCAATAAATACATGCGTGGAAGGCAACACATACAACCAAACTTTCTCTTTCCTTTCTTTCTCTCTGAGCCCCAAGCTCTAGCCCTCGCAACCCTCAGTGCCCCAGAAGAAGCTTCTCTAGATGGTCAGTAGACCTGCCTCAGCAGAAGAGCTTCAGCAATGGTGAAACAGAAATCTTGCTCTGCTCTGCTCCCTTTCAGGTGACTCTCCTCTCCCACTGCAGTGCAATATCACACAGCCTCCACAAGAGAGATGGGGAACCTGACCTTGGAGAGAAGTCGGGTAGGCATTAGGGGCTGCAAAGAGGAAGAGGAAGAACAATTGCATGAGCTGCCTTCCACTTGCACAACCAATGGAAACATCACCCTAACCTGATTTCCTGAGGCCAAGTTTACAGCTGTTTATTGTAGCACTATGGATTGACTTGTCCCACATTTCTAAACTGCAAGTAATTTGCTTTATGTTAAATCACACTTTAATTAATTGTATAATTAAATAAAATGAATAAATTAATTTATTTCTACACTCTATTTTCAGCCACATTTTACAATATTTTATTTTTTCCATTGGGGGTCATGCAATTAGCTCCATGCACTCGCCGGGGGGGGGGGGTGATGTGAGTGAGTGGCTGGAAAGCATATTAGGTTGCATAATAAAATACCATTGAGAAGTCAGGGTAAAACACTGGGTAGAGAGAGCTATGCTTCACTGGATGCTGCAAGCCTTGAGCACACATAAAGCAGTTCTGCATTTTTACTGTCTTTGGAGTCAACAAAGTTAGATGAATCTAAATTAACAGTGTTAAATTTTAAAGGCTAATGGAATTTCAACATATCCATCTTTTTCTGTATTGTGCCATTTGATTGCAAACGCCTTGACATGAAGGCGTGCATTCAAGCGTGGCAACACTGAGAACAACACAAGTCAATGTTAAGCCCTAATTAATACAGTTTAGACTACAAGTATGGGAGAAGCTATGTAAACACATGCAGTTTTATAGAGGTGTTTACAAAAACCTTCAGTTCTACTTTTGAACAGTTATTTGTGGCAGTGTATTGGCCTGCAACACCAGGCAAACAGAAGGACCAAAACAGAAGGATTAGTTAGCTGGTGCAGGAGTCTAAGGGTTGGATTGGAAACTAATACTTGATAATACCACTTTTTCAAAGACAAAAACATGCCCCAAATTACTTTTGATTTTGCAAGACAGGATAAGCTTGCAAATTCAAGCACTATTCATAAAGGTAGTCAAAGCACATCATATATAAGATTAAAAAGATATTACATAGGGGGAGATCAGGGAATGTGTTATAAATAGCCATCTTACTTTTCTCATTGGTTTTCAAGAACCTTATTAATTATACACCATTAAGGAGCACCATTTTATTAGGCTTAAAAATACTTTATAAATCATAGAAGCACAAGATAATGTTATTCATGCTTACCCAGTCACAAGAAATTAGCACTCTCCCCATATGTAATAGTCAGAAGAACAAGAATGAAATCCAGCCCTGTTGTTTCTTACCTTAAATCTAAGCAACCACTTAATGCATAAATGAAGCAAATAAAAGAGGTAGGAAGAAAAGCATTGAAAGGTTAGTTGAAACTTCAGGATATGGAGAGAGAAGGGAAAAAAGAAAGAAGTTAAGCATTTAGCATTAACCAAATAATGTATCAGTAGATCACAGAAAGAGTGATTAAAGCAGAATGTGTCATGAACAAAGGGTTTTCAAGATGAAACTTTTTCATAAGGTCATTAAGATGCAATTAATGATATCTTAAGAAAGTTAAGATATCAAGATAATATTCTTAAAATACTATTCATTCCAAAGGACAGCACTCAATGTTTCAAACACTATTGATTAGACACATAACAGAGGGCCATTAATCCTCCCAAGGATTAGCTTCTGTCAATTAACTTCTTGTTCCTATGTGGACTAGCTTATTTGAAGTAGCTTCCTGCAAGTGTTGCTCTGCAGAACATTTTTACCCAACTAGTAAATGGCTAATCTTAATTCTAGATAATTTTTGCATGTGCATCTGCATCATATTTCACAACTCATGCAATACTAGAGACATTAACATGACCAAACTTAATCCAATATAAAAGCGTTATCTCATAAATCTACTGTTTAGTTTATTATAATTAAATCATTATTTCATGGTCCTGCATACACTGTAGCTTGTTTGATCAATTAAAGGTAAAGGTAAAGGTTTCCCCTTGACGATAAGTCCAGTCATGCCTGACTCTAGGAGGCAGTGCTGTCTGCAGACAGTCTCTATGGTCATGTGGCCGGCATGACTAAACACCGAAGTGAACAGAACGCTGTTACCTTCCCAATGCTGTTACCTTCCCATGGAAGTGGTACCTTTTTAGCTACTTGCATTTGCATGCTTTCAAACTGCAAGGTTGGCAGAAGCTGGGACAGAGCAACGGGAACTCACCCCGTTGTGCAGATTCGAACCGGCGACCTTTCGATCAACCAGCCCAGCAGCACAGCAGTTTAAACCACTGCGCCACCTGCATCCCGTTTGATCAATTACACAAAATTAAAAATTGCTTAATTTCTTAAAACTCAAATCAAGCCATAACTATAAGGTATCGCAAACCAAATCAGCTTTCATAAAAGAAAAAGCTACATACCTATAGTTTATGTCACTGCTCTGGGTTCCATAAATTTACAGGATTTATTTCAAAATGCAGCTACAGAAATAGACCTTTAAAATGAGATTATAAATGAAGAGATTCCCCTACACCATTTTACTTAACCCAGGTGTTTTGTAGAGTCTGTTTGCTATTGCCTGTTTTAGCTATTTTAAACTTTTTTTCTGTTTTTCTGATATTTTATTACATGTTATTGTTTTATGGATTGTTGTAGTCCAGCCGGAAAGCTTCAGCTGCGGGTGGTATGGAAATGAAATAAATATTTTCTTCACCTAATTTTTCCATTTATTTCTATATATGTTTGTCCAGCTCTCCTACTGAAAGGGACTCAGAACAGCTAATTAAGAGTGCAACTGAATTAAGCATTAGCTACACTGTGCCAGAGCTTATCTGGGCATATAAAGACTTCCTTTACTAACTACCATCATCTTTGGAACAGATGGTGCTCATCAGCCAGCAAAACAGTCACCACTGCCAAAATAAATGCCTCCCTTTCCTACCTAGCCCCCAATGCAGTCACTCTCAAAATGTAAGCATAAACATAACTGGGATAGTAACCATCACTGAGATTCTGCTCTATAAAGCCCGAAAAGCTGATATTTATACCATATATCTTTATGACAGGGCCCTCTAGATGTTAAATTCCTTTTAACAGGCACTAAATTGTGCTTCTAATTCACTAATATTTAAGGCTAGTATTTCACTCACAAATTATTGTTCACTTTCAGTACAGTTCTGTGTATTAGTTTACATAGATAATGCTTTTAGTGAAGCATGATGGCTTATATAATGCGAAGTGTTTGGGTATACTTACTTTTAATATAACTTCCCTGAAGGCATTTTCCTTTTTTTAAAACATTGTAAAACAGCAAATAACATGTCATTCAAAAAGAGATGCATGAGTAACACAGGGTGCAATCCTATGCATGCTTAGGCAGAAAAAAGTCCTACAGCATGGCTGGCTGCAGAATGCTGCAAGGCATAGGACGTGTATGTCTGAACGCACACAGGATTGTGCCCTACATACCATGCTCTTTAACTTCAAACAATTCCCATGGAAACAGAGACAATGACGTGCCTCTCTGCCCCTGCCCTGTTGCAACCTTGCTGACAGGAGGAGTTGCAGACCTTGTAAATCATTCCTAGGCACATTTGCCTTTCCTTTCTCAGAGGAACTTTCACAATTTGTTAGTCTCATAATTACTTCACATATTTCAAGAGTACAATTTGGAAAGGACATGCAAGTCTATGCACAAAATTTGTTCATGCTATTTATACAAATCATGCAGACAAATTGTACAGGCGAGTCAATTTGCAATTCTGCAGTATGTTAGATTTTAGTACAAGTCTTGTTAGAATTATGTGCACAGACAGCTTTGTACTTCTTCTAATGTTGTTTTTAAAACTATAAACAGATACAAAAGCCTGGTGCCTTTGCTTTGCCTGTCATGCAAGTCTGGAAACCCTACACTGGCCTGACAGAAGGTGCTAGTAGTGCACTGCATGTTGCTCACTAACAAAATTTAGGATGAACAGAAGGGGGAGAATACATACTCTGCAGTCACAGAGGTACCTGTGACAATCCAGTCAGGCATAAGGGACTGGCATCAAATGCTTTCCAAGATGAAAGCCTTCTACAAACTGCAGGGAACACAAACACCTAGAAAGGCTAAATTTCATTTTTTTTGGTGGGGTTTTTGTTTTCTTCTGCAAGAGGGACACATTCAGAAGAAATAATATGGGATCAGTAAGGATCATCATAACACTGGAGGTGGAGAATCCATGCAGCTATTTGAAGGAAGAAAAATCTACACAGAAATGTTTCCATTCTGAGAACATATAGGCAAGATGGTCCTATCTGAACAATTCCACATCACCACTTACCTTTACCCCATGTCCAGTATCATCTAGAATTGTATAATCAATAGGTTTTCTAATATAGCGAACTGGTCGCTCCAGGTTGGCTGGTGCAATAATTTTGTGAGTTCTTGAAGTGTTTTTATTTGTAGTCAAGATGCCAATTTCTCTTCTAGCCACTTTTTCTTTGTGTATGTCAACTGTCTGTAGGAATAAAAAAATACAAGTTTAAGTAATTAGTTGAATGTGCTTTTCCAATTATGAAAATGTATTTAAGCAAGCTGTTCAGTATCACTACAACACCGTCATTTCCAAGGATACACACAGCCTTTTTGTTCCAATATAAATATCTATTCTTCTTTGTTTAGATTTCACAGAATACATCTACTTAAATACTACAGGGAATGTCCAAAACATTCTCATAAAATGGGAATGTTATCCATTGAAGCACCAAACTATTATAAGTGACAGAAAATTAAGCCACCAAAGCAGTAAAACATTTGCCTCGAGTGCCTAAAACAACTGATAAAGGGTGACACACATTTTCATGTCCGTTAAAATATACATTTTGATGTTTTCTCCAAAACCAGGTCATTAGAAAATGCAATCTGAGGTATCACTTGCACACAGGGATGTGGAGGAATCCGTGGGTTGGTGCTGGGAATCTGATGGGTTATCTGGGCTCAACTCCCTGGACTCCAATCCACTCTGTCACACTCCTGAGTCCAAGCACCTGATGAGTGTGTCCAAGAGTTTTCAGGGAGTTCACCAGGAATCAAGCCCCACATGTCCCACAGCTGCACCTGACATGGCAGAGGGATGCTGCCCCAGCAGTGGTTGCACAGGGCTAACCAAAGATGGAGAAGGTTGCTTGAGTGGGTCTTATCCAGGATGGAGCGGCATCCCCCTTCCATGTTGCCTGAGCAATCTTTGTGCACAAGAGGAAGACTGCAAACGCTAAAGGGACGGATTTTGGTGTGTTTCATCCCAATTTGAAAATCCACTTGCTTGAAATGGCTGTCAGGCCAATGTATGCACTATCATTGAAGTTGTAGTGACTACTTTTAACTATCACGATGCAATATACACCTGCAAACCTTATAAACATTTCTTCGTCCAAGCTCAGACTTCTTTAGCATGTGCTGTGCATTGTCACAAATGGAAAGAAGTATGGTTTGAATAGCCAGAAGCATTATTTTAAAATTCTCAGAGGAAGGGTGTCAAGAAGACCATATCTTATCCAAGAAGTTTTAAATATGAGTAAAAATCACCTTAATTCTTATACAGCAGTGAAAGTGTGTGTATACTGAGAAGTATATGCATAAATTAAGAAATTAAACCTTGTTGATAATGGCCAATGCTTTACACTCTTCCTCCTCATTTCATGAATCTCTGAAAATACCAAAGATTACCCAGGACAAGCTTCAAGATGAAGGAAATTTCTAAATTCTCCCTCTACAACTCTTGGCTTTTTCTAAGGTTAGGAAATGACAGAGATACAGCCATAAGGATAGGGATAAAGCATTTATGGTTCTCCAGCTTTTCTTAACAAAGGAAAGTTTGCAAGGCAAACTGGAGGCCAGAGGGAGCTCTATAAATGAGGGATTGTGCATGTTTTTAGGACAGGTAAGCATAAATGTAAGCAATGTGCTGGCAAGGATCATACCTGAAGTTTTGATATACTCAAGGTATGAGTTAGGGAAGCCTGTGAAGTATCAAGGACAGCAGGGCCTGTTCCAAGTATAGCTTTTACACTGTAAAGCTATTGTAAAGCTGTGAGAACTTTTCTATTCAATATGGGGCTAACAGACATTATGTTTAAGTAAGTAGTATCAAGAAGCTCCAGAATTTTAAAAAGTTAAAGTAATGGAGCATATAGAAATGATATATTTTAAACAGAAGGGCAAGACTTAAAACACAGTGCACCACTAGAAAAGGAAGAGCCTAGGGAGATAAGAAGACAAAAAAAAATTGATCAGGTATCCAGAACCAAAAGAGTATTTCAAATTCTTAGACACCCAGACAGTTTGAATTATTTTCCCAATCTACTAGTAAACTTATTTTTAAAAAATTCTTAATTATACGTGCTTTTTTAAAATTTATTGTCAAACCCACCCCATTAGCAATAAGATTCCCTGGGTGGGTTACAGCAGAAGAAAATACAAAGCCAAATCGCCACAAATAGACCTTTTGGAATCTTCTGAAGTTCTAGCTGTGGTGATCTCAATGATATTCCGCTATCATGGAACTCCCTCCCTCCAAGAAAATGGTCCATGAGGGTTCTACCCTTTCATCAATACCACCACTCAGTGAGACAGACCAGGAAGAGAGATGTGCTAACTAGCCCAAGGTCATCCAATGAGCTTCATGGCTGAGAGGACTTAGATGATCTGGGTGACCTGGATTCCAAAGTCCAATACTATCTGCTGTACCAGACTAGTTGCTGGATACAAATGGAACAAACAAACAAATTCTCTCACTTGTGAAATGTGGTTGATTGAAGATTCCATGCGCCTAAGCTGGGATGCCTGGATATCCAGCATCTGTAGAACATTGTTGGCCAAGGTGTTGATCAAGTAAGCTACACTTGCTAAAGACTGAGTTGTGTATGCTTTGGTTTCTTCTAGGGCACGTTGCTTATCTGTTGACTAAAGAAAAGGAAAATATTAATAAATGTGTACTTTCTGTATGAACTACTTTGATGCTGCAAGTAACATGCATCAAAAGAACAGGAAATTCCATTATTTTTACCATTTTACCCCACTACACCCATTAGGTGGACATGAAAGTGGTTTTAAGTGCTTTGCAGAGCAACTAATCAGCAATTTCAGTATAATATTTTCAAGGTGCTCTGTATCACCTGGACTATTTACAAAATACTTGAAGTGTTATACCCGACAGCATGCTTGATGCATCTGATTAAATTTCCCCAACATTCAAATTAATGTTTTCAAAGGTAAATTAATATATACAAAATGCATATATACAAGTCATTGGTTCTTCAGGTCTTATTCATTTCCCATTTTGTTCCTTTTTCACAGGAGCAATTTCAGAACATGGAAAGTCCCATACAACCTCAAAAGTTCAATACAACCTAAAAATCTATGAGAGAAACAAATTTAGTCACATTCATGCCCAATACTTCTAAACCAACCAATCAGCAATCCATTCAAATATAAACATTGATACTTAAATTATTAAGAATCACTCCCCAGATTCCAAGTCTTCTTCACACATCAATTCTTTTCCCCAGAGTATAATGGTTAAAAAGAACACACCAATTCTCATGCATGATTATATGTTAGCACTGAACAAGAGCAAACATGTGCCTTTTTCAGCAAGCTTTTCTTGCGTTCAGTACAAGAAGAGAGCCTACCTTTTATCTCTGGGTTGCTGGCAGCCTTCTTCAGCAGCACTGTTAGCCTCTAAACATAAAAGGCACTGCTAGTACCCACCATTAATATTTATGTCTTTAAAAAACAAAAATCTTACACAGCTGTCCCTCCAACATTAATATTTCCCTAAACATTAATATTTTCCTAAAATGTTAGGCCAAGATCATCTTTACTGTTTTTGGAAAAGCAGTTGTATCTCCCCATCACAGAATGAGAGGTTCTAACCACTGAGAAACCCTTTACACCAAGTACTAATGAGAATCTTTGATCCTTTTGGTGTGACAACAAACGCAAAGAATCCAGGCCAACATTACCCAATTCCACTAACACAAACCACTCCTTCAAAAAAATCAAAAACCTTCTAAAATAAGTTTGCTTACATAAAGTATGCCTATTAATGTTTCTAGCTACATTTTCATACCATGTTCCTCTTGCCTTTCTCACATTCCCACCTGCACTGCCAATACAGAAGCAACAAATAACTCACAAGTAGAACAAACTCCTTTTCACTTTATTCTGAGAAGTGTTATCCATACCTGAGGGTACAACATAGGCTGCTCAATGCACATATAAAAATTGATGTAAGGCTTACTAGAGTAACTCAAACAGCAATCCTTCGCTATCAGTAGCAGATTAAATATGAATAGTGCATATCACACTGGAGTCCCAATACACAGATATACAATGGCTAGCTTAGCTTCCTACAGTCTGGTTCCTTTCAGATGTGTTGGACTGCAACTCCCATAATTCCTAAGGCAGAAGGATGTGGAATGCTGAGCTGGAGTTTTGGGCATGACTATAGGAAATTGGGATTCAAACCTCCTCTCAGCCATGAAACCCACTGGATAACCTTGAGGATGCCTTTATAAAGCTTAACTGCCCCTCACATGACTGTTTCAAGGGATAAAGGGATATAGTGAGGTAACTTCATATATGCCAGTTTTAAGTTATAGAAGGAAAGGCAAAATAAAAAATGTAAGAACCCTAGTTTCATTATAATCCCCATCACAACCCGTAAAGCAGGAATGCTCTTAGAGTCAGTATATAACATCCCAAAGTACAAATGGTGGGTCCATAATGCTAACCTATGAATTATTTAACCCATAGGTCATTGAATTCTGGCTTGTTTTGTTGTGTGAATTCAACATAAAAATAATGTCTTGCTTGTAACCATGAACATCACAGAAAAGGAACCACTGCTTGTAGATGAGTTGTGAACATGCACTGTTCCACAGATCGTTTCATCAGGTGACCCAGGCAGCAGGCAAGATTGGTTTAAAAAAATGTCACTCTACATGCCAGTAGTACAGCACCGTAAATATATTTGGGATACACGGAGGAAGTAGGAGAAGGAAAGGAGAAACAGAACAATCTCAAGACAAACTCCATTTTATTCAACCATCTACCAGACAAACCCTCCATACATGTTAAACAAGCATTGACTATGAATTAAATAACCTATGAGTTAGCAGTTTGGGTCAACCAGGTGATTTCCTCAGCCTCCTCTACACTACATATTTAAACTGGTTTAATAAATAGTCTTTTCTTTTTCCCCAGAGAATGATGGGAACAGTACTTTGGTTGAGAGGGTCAGATATTTAATATAATTCTCAACATCCTCAAACTACAATTCTCCATATTCTTTGGGGAGGTAAAGAAAGCCACAGTAAAAAAAAAAAAAAAATGATATACAACTTTGGCCTTTGCCTCCTCCTTTCAGGTGTTAACAGGTGTTGGGGAAAAGAGGGGTTGGAAAGCTCTTATTTAAAAACATTATGTTCATTCTTCCACACCTGGGAATTTTAGGAAGGAAAGGGAGATAAGATGGCACATTATGAAAGATAAAAGGACTTCACAACTATAACATCTAGAGCTGAGATTTAGAAGTTCTGAGAAAACTAAGAGGGGCCATACCAAGTAGTGGTCATTCTATAAAATATTTACAAAAGGAGGAAGCCAAAGAGGAAAGAGAAATCACTGCAACCACTCCAAAAGCTTGCTTAATAAATCAATGTACCAATTATATCTTTTTAACTGACCTTTAGGTAACTGAATATGCTTCCATTTTTTCTTATGAAGTCCAAAACTTGCCAGTAGCCTAGAATGTTTAAGTGTTCCAGACAGCATAAAAAAAGACTTTTAGAGGACCAACAATGACATGTCATCAGAAAGCAGTTCAAACCTAGTCAACTTTTTTTTCCTTGAGAATTGAGAGGGGCTTGCATAATTACAGGATTCCAGTACATTAAGAACATGCTATTTTATATGTGGCTGTCCTGTGAAACTATGATCACTAAGCATACGAAGCCAATATCCATTGTGAAGAAATCTTTACTTCCATCAAATTATCATTCATTTTGCAGCTAAACAAAAATGCTCTGGGAAAGAAACCGAAGGAAGAAAGTGCTGATGTGTGTTTATATTTAAATTCATATCCCACATTTTCACCAAAAAGTGGTTCACAACTTGTTACTTTCATATGAATTTATGATATTTAAAAACCATTTTTAAAAAACTTGGCAGGTGCAATGCTGTGCATGTTTATATAGAAACAGGCACAGAAAAAAGTCCCACAGCTCCCCATGCTGGCTGCAGAGTACTAGGAGCTGTGGGGCTTTTAATGTTGTTTGTTCATTTGTTTAAGCATGCATCAGACTACATTCTAATACAATTAAAAGGAAAAGCAACATACAAATTCAGCCTCCCAACAGGAAACTGATGTTTTCCTCCTTAATTTATTTATTTTACTTATTTATAGCATTTTTATGCTGCCCCCATCGCAGAAAGCCTCGGGGCGGCTTACAAAAAAAGATAAACAACATAAGATAGTATAACATTAAAAATTCGGAGCATCTCGGCAATAGTTTAAAACCAATAAATAAGAACAACAATTAACAATTAAAATATCATTTAAATAAAAAGGTCCTGGCCTGGTGCCGAAAAACAAATAACGATGGCGACAGGCGGACCTCTCTGGGGAGCACATTCCATAGGTGGGGTGCCACCACAAAGAAGGCCCTCCTCCGGGTACTCACCCTCCTAATGTCCTTCATGGAGAGCTCCCGGAGAAGGGCCTCTGCCGCCGATCTCAAGGGGCGGGAGGGCACGTATGGACGTAAATGCTCCTTAAACTAACCAGGTCCCAAGCCATTAAGGGCTTTATAGGTGATAACCAACACCTTGAACTGGGCCCGGACTTCAATGGGGAGCCAGTGAAGCTGAGGGAGGACAGGAGTCATGTGAGCACAACGCCCCGTCCCGGTCAGCAACCTGGCAGCTCTGTTTTGCACCAACTGAAGTATTCGGATAGTCTTCAAGGGCAGCCCCATGTAGAGCGTGTTACAGAAGTCTAGTGGGGAAGTCACCAAAGTGTGTGTCACTGTCGTCAGGCAGTCGTTCTCCAGGTAGTGATGCAGCTGATGAATCAGCCGAAGCTGAAAGAAAGCGCTCCTCGCCAACACTGTTGCTTGAGCTTCTAATGACAACTCCGGGTCGAGGAGCACTCCCAAGCTCTGAACCCTGTCCCTAAGAGGAAGTGCAACCCCGTTTAGGACAAGGTCCAGGTCCCCCTCCCGAAGCCCAACCCACCTCCGTCTTGTCTGGATTGAGCCTCAGTTTACTGGCCCTCATCCAGCCCATTATCTCGGCCAGGCACCGGTTCAGTACAGCCACCGCCTCACCTGGATTAGTTGAGAACGAGAGGTAGAGCTGGGTATCATCAGCATACTGATGATTCCGCAGCCCACACCTCTTAATGACCTCTCCCAGCAGTTTCATGTAGATGTTGAATAGCAAGGGGGACAAAATGGACCTCTGCGGAACTCCATGGCATAGCAGCCATGGCGCAGAGCCATAGTCCCCCAGCACCACCTTCTGGAATTGGCCGTCGAGGTAGGAGTGGAACCACTGCAAAGCAGTGCCTCCAACTCCCAATCCTGCTAGCCTATCCAGAAGGATACCATGGTCGATGGTATCGAAAGCCGCTGAGAGGTCCAGGAGAACCAGGGTCTACTCCCTGTCTCTCTCCCTGCACAGGTCATCATACAGGGCGACCAAGGCAGATTCAGTACTGTACCCGGGTCTGAAGCCGGACTGAAATGGGTCCAGATAATCAGTTTCATCCAAGAGTACTTGGAGTTGTCCTGCCACCACCCACTCTAACACCTTGCCCAAGAACAGGATGTTGGCCACCAGTCTATAATTGGCGGCCACCTCTGGATCCAGGGATGCCTTCTTTAGGACTGGCCGGACTGCCTCCTTTAAAGGGGCAGGTACCCAGCCGTCCCTTAGAGAGGTGTTGACAACCTCCAGGATCCAGGTCCCAATCCCATCCTTGACTTTCTTGAGTAGCCAAGATGGGCAAGTGTCCAGTAAGCAGGTGGTAGGACGTACTTGTCCAAGCACCTTGTCCACATCATCAGGCTGCAGCAACTGAAACTCATCCATCAATTGTGGACCAGACGGCAACACTGGCCCCTCCCCAGTAGAATCTGATTAACAAGTAGAGTCCAGCTCATGACGAATCTGAACGATTTTCTCCCTGAAATGCTTGACGAAGTCGTCACAGTGGGCCTTCGAGGGTGGCACAAGATCTTTCTTTGGGCCCGGGTGTACCACCCCTGTACCACCTGAAAGAGCTCCGCCGGATGGCACTGTGAGGAGGCAATGAAAGTGGAGAAGAATTTCTTTGCTGCCCTCACCACCACAGCATAGGCCCAATAATGGGCTCTTAAGTGTGTTCGGTCAGATTCATCCCATGATTTCCTCCACCTATGCTCTAGACGTCTCCCAACCCACTTCATTGCCCACAGTTCAGGTGTATACCAAGGGGATGAACAGGCTCTGCCAGGTGGGAGATGATGCTTAGGAGCAATCGTGTCAATAGCCCTGGTCATTTCCCCATTCCATAGTTCAACCCAGGCATCGACAGGAGCACCAGACTTATCAACCGGGAAATCCCCCAGGGCCTTCAGGAATCCATCCAGATCCATCCGGCTCCGGGGGCGGACCAGCGCAATCGGGTCTGCACCCTTACAGAGGGAAATGCCGCTCTCGTGCTCAAACCTCACGAGGAAGTGATCTGACCATGACAGGGGTGTCAGACACAAGTTCCTCACCCTCAGATCACCCTCTTCCTGCTCCGTCGAGAAAACCAGGTCCAGAATGTGTCCTCATTCATGGGTTGGGCCAATGATGTGTTGAGACAGCCCCATGGCTGCCATGGAGGCCATGAAGTCCTGAGCCGCCCCTGTCAGAACCACCTCGGCATGGAGATTGAAGTCCCCCAAGACCAACATCCTGGGAGTCTTCAACACCAAATCCGAGACTATCTCCGTCAGCTCAGGCAGGAAGTCTGTTGGGCAGAAGGGTGCACAGTACACCAACAGAATTCCCAGTCTGTCTCAGTCACCCAACACCAAGTAGAGGCACTTTAGACCCGGCCTCAAGAGGACAGGAAGCCCCGTGAGGGAAATAGAGGCTTGGTAAACCAAAGTGACCCCCTCTCTCCTCCCCTCCAGGCGTGGTCGGTGCTGGATCAGATACCCGGGTGCGCACATTTGAGAGAGGGAGACGTTCCACCCCCCCACCCAGGTCTCTGTGATGCAAGCCAGGTTGGCCCCTTTATCCACAATCAAGTCATGGATGAGGGAAGATTTATTGTGGACCGACCTGGCATTAAGCAGCAGCACCGACAGGCCCGGGGGGTGGATGACAGGACTACCTGGAACCCTCAGGCTAGGGGAATAACCAGAAAGAGGAACAGGTGCTAGCCATCTGTCCCTCCTTCTTCTACGCGGACATGTTAGACCACCAACGCCATAACGTCCATTGCCCATGACCACCCCAATGGCGGTGCCCATGCACTCCCCAGGCAACCCCAAATTCATAGCCAAGAATGACTCCATTAAAAATATAAGCTAAAAACACATTAAAAACACCTAAAAACACTTAACCCCCCCCCCCAACACAACCCAATCCAATTAGCAATCCCACCCGCCGGCCAACAACATAGCCCCTGGCCAGCTCAGCCCCGCACGACCCCCAAACAGCCCCCAATCTGGCATGGCTCACACTCAGCACCAGCGGGGCGGAGAAGCAAGGGCGGCTGCCCGGCACTCACCGCCCAGCAAGATGGTGGCGTCCTCCCCAGCAGCATTGTCGACCAGCCAGTGGCCTCCGGCCCCGGTGGGTCCAGCGATGGTTGTGGGCACCAGGGTCCGGTGGAGCGCCCCGCGCTGTTCCCCGGCTCGGTGGCAGCAGATGGTCAGAGGGAGGGGGTGAGTGGGGCCCAGTTAATGACCCCAATGACTCCAAGGAATTAATTGGAAACTACACTTTACATCTAATCCAACATCATGTTTCTACATTGGCCAATAGATGCTTATGTGGAGGTCCATGTAAGCAATGCCATTCAACCACTCATGTCCCGTAGCAACAACCACTCATGTCCCGTAGCAACAAATAGTCAGAGGTATACTACTTCAGCTACCTAAGATACAGATGGCCTTATCCTCATGAAGTTGTCTAGTTCCCTTTTAAAGCTACTATGGCTCCAAAGTTTAACTGTTTTTTGTCACTCCTGAATGTCACGTGATCAGCTTCAAGAGATGACTACATTTCCTTGTTCTGAGCATTTGGATTCTAACAGTATGAAAAAAGGAAAACATGCCCCATCCATTTTCTCCAAACAATGCATAATTTTATATGCCTGAATCACGACTCTTATTACTTGCCATTTTTCTAAGCTCCACGCCCCATACTTTGTTGCTCCAACCCCTTTGTTCATTTCAATCACTCTTTCCTGCACTTTTTCAAGCTCTCTATCTTTTTGAGACACAGTGACCAGAACAAGTATGGTTACATCACAAATATGTCTAAGGACTATGGTTAGAAACTGGCAGCTTTGATTCTCTCACATGTACATCTAATATGAAATTTGCCTTTTTCACAGCATCCTCACTCTGGAATATGATCTTTACAGAGCTGCCCAGAACAACCCTAAGAGCTCATTCTTAGTCAAGCAATCCAAGATCTTTTCAGCATTATATGTGAAATAAGGATTTTTTGCTCTATCGTACATTACTTTGCACTTGCTTACACTGAATAACATTTGCCATTTTAATGTCCATTGCCCATTAATGCGCAAAGGCAGAACACCATCTTAACTAGTGTCTGTACATGATCCACATTAAACACTTTTTAAAGTTCCATTGAATTATATGGGAATTAAATACTTTAAGCCAATGTGACCTCAAAGTACATCATTTGACTAAACTGTCCCCTCTATATTTTGCATGTACAGTGTATCACAGAAGTGAGTACACCCCTCACATTTTGTAAATATTTTATTATATCTTTTCATGTGACAACCCTGAAGAAATGACACTTTGCTACAATGTAAAGTAGTGAGTATACAGCTTGTATAACAGTGTAAATTTGCTGTCCCATCAAAATAACTCAAAGCACAGCCATTAATGTCTAAACCACTGGCAACAAAAGTGAGTACACCCCTAAGTGAAACTGTCCAGATTGGGCCCAAAGTGCCAATATTTTGTGTGGCCACCATTATTTTCCAGCATTGCCTCTTGTGCATGTCACATGAAAAGATATAATAAACTATTTATAAATGGTGAGGGGTGCACTCATTTCTGTCTCCTTCATGGATCACTGCCTTGTCGTGGCAAAGGGGCTTGCGTAGCTCAATGAA